GGTGGGTGATGGGACCAGCCGAGCCTGATCACCTGGCTCCCTGACTCAGAGTCTTTATTATTTTTTAAGTTGAACGACCCAGGTTCCAGTCGCTTGCTGAAAAGGCGCCGGGATCTCCCGTGCTGTGACTCACTGAGTCAGCTCAAACAGCGGCACCGGCTCCTGGTGGTTTTTTTTCCCTAGGAATCTCCTGGCCTGGCTCGCTATTTCAGATGAATGGGCAACTCTGCCGTCTCAGGGCTCCAATCGCCAGCTAATAGGGCTCCCAGACCAGTTGCTTTTGTACGGAGAACCGCCGCAACAGGGCGTGGTCAAAGCAGCCATGTGGGCCAAATCAGCCCCGCAGGGGCCAAAACAGCCGCACCAGCCAGAACAGTGGCGCTGGTGACCCCTCTGCCTGGGTATCTCCTGGTCTGTGGGCAATAAAAATTTGTCTGGAAATGTGGCATCCACTCACCCTCTGCACTTTCACTGGGAGCCGAAGTCCTGAGCTGTTCTTAGGCGCCCATCTTCCCGGCATTCACCCCCTTGTTCATTTTTTATTGCTTCATATCTAATGTAAGATCTCATGAATAATCAGTACCTGATAAATGATGTTGCTCATGAGGGTATGTGTGCACACGTGGATACTTGTGCACACATACCTGCCTGCTGTGTACTTAGGAAGAGTTTTACTGTTTTTCTTGGTACCTAGTATATGTCTTAATGACTACAAGATCTCAGTAGTATCTTAGTAGTTAAGAAATTCTACAAGATGCCCATGGGAAATTTCAATCCAAGATTATCACTAATGAGTCAGAAGAGAAGCACAGTGGTCCTGCCTTTGATGATGGATAGAAAAGTTTTTAGAGAAGAAGATTGCTGCTCAAAACCTTAGTTAGCCTCTCTTGGCTACTGTGTTACTGTCCTCCACAGTGGGGAGTATGCAGATGGTCTCCAGCTTAAGACGGGTTGACTAGTGACTTTTTGACTTTATGATGATCTAAAAGTGATATGCATTCATTATGCTCCTTATGATGAGATTATGGTCCAACAACCCCATCATAAATTGAAAATATCATAAGTAGAATTTGACTTATGAAACATGTTAACAGATATTTTTAATTTCGATGGGTTTATCCAGATGTAGCCCCATTGTAAGTTGAGGAGCATCTATACATATTTTTTATTTCTCTTTTTCTGTGAAGGTAGAAAAAAAATATACATGCTTATACTCTAGGTCTGTGTTAAGGATTTGGTTTTACTTTCTGGGTGCCACTGATTTGCTTAATGATATCAGGTGAGAAATAAAAGAGCCAGAATTGTTGCTGACCAAAGCTTGATGTGGTCCCTCTCTGTGTTTCTGCACGTTGCAGCAATTCTGGAAGATTCTGAGATCATTGTAGAACTTGGGAGAGCCAGGTTGGTTTCCATACTATAGCTTTTGAAGGCAAACGATTTTAGTAATCCATATGAGGTTTCTCACCCCCTGTTGTCCTCTGTAGTAGGGAACTCGTAGATTAGGTTGTTTTTGGGAATAGTCTTGCTCTTTTTGAGGTAGAGTGGAAATAGAACCTTTAAAGACTGAGTCCATTGCTATTCAAATCTCTCTTCTAAATTGGTCATAAAGTTCTCAGAATATTCTTGGCATGACTTTTGAAATGAGTTAGAGGATTTATGGACTGATCAGGGAATGAAGTTCTTCTTGTCTCCTTTCTCTCCTTTGATTTCTTCTATTTTGTGTCTCTCCTTTTCCCCTCTCTTGTTTTTAATGCCTGCCCATCCTTTTGCCTTCTTTCTTTCTTTTATGCCTGAGGTGGATTGCTATTTTATGATCCAGCCGCCTGATGGGTTAAATGATTTTCAGTGTTGTCCTCTGGGAACTTACGGAGATATATGACCTTGATCAAATTATTCAGCTGCTATAAGTGCCACAGTTTCTTTATTTCTTTATATAAACTGGAGTGTTGTGGGAATGATTAAATAAGATAAACTGCTTAGAATAGTATCTGACACATAGCAAGTGTTTTATATATGGTTTTAATCTTCATTATAATTATTCTGATTATACTTCACTCAGCCCCTTGAGAAGATACAAAACTATCTGAGCTGTATTTTTTTTAAAGTGAACATGATTGCTAGTGAGCTTTATTTTTAAATGTAGAGACAAAACAAAATGTTAAGTATGGAAGAATAGTCAATCCTTTTTGCCAGCAGTGTTCCCTGTGCTTTACGCAGGTATTGTGGAATGTATGTTGATGTCCTCTAGTGAAGGAATTGTAGACCCAGCCTACTACTTCAGATTTTTAAACAGTAAACATGCTTTAATTTGGTAAGCATCACGCCCCTCCCTCCTTGTATCAAAAACGTAAAGCACCTTTGTTAGTCTTGTTCACTGTAGGAACATTTTTGTTTTAAACAGTATGGTTTTAAGAGGCAATATGAGACAATATTTTGCTTTAAAGAAAGTCAAAGCAGTTTCAAAAAGGGTTTCACTCAGTAACAAAACTTATTCTATATCTCAATGTTATAATTACTGTAGTTCAAACTACGTATTTTATTTCTATAATTTTAGCCATAATAGTGAAACTCCTCAGTAATAGAAAGAGATAAAAGAATACTATAGTTGTAGATTTTCCATTTCCTAATTTCAAAAGTACATTAAAAAGTACTGCTTACGGCTGGGTGTCATGTCTCACACCTGTAATCCCAGCACTTTGGGAGGCCAAGGCAGGTGGATCATGAGATCAGGAGATCAAAACCATCCTAGCTAACATGGTGAAACCCTGTCTGTACTAAAAATACAAAAAATTAGCCAGGCATGGTGGCACGCACCTGTAGTTCCAGCTACTTGGGAGCCTGAGGCAGGAGAATTGCTTGAGCCCAGGAGGCAGAGGTTGCAGTGAGTCAAGATTGCACTATTGCACGCCAGCCTGGGTGACAGAGTGAGACTCCATCTCAAAAAAAAAAAATATTGCCTACTCACATTTGTATTTGTCCTTGGTCTACTTCCATTGATCTAGAAAAGTTATTTTACAATGGCATCTTTGGCTGGGAGAAATTAAATGTTTTTCTCAAGTTCAACATTAACCTGATCATAGATGAATTAAATCAATTAAACAAAGATGTTTTAATTAAGAGATTAAATGATAGGTTGCGATAATGGGTTTAAAAGCATTTTGTGACTCTAAAGTACTTTGTAAACTGTGGAGTACTCTGCAAATATGAATTATTGTTACAGTGAGAAATCACGCTGAAGCAATTACCACGTATACTTGGTGGCCTCCAAATACACTACTAGGATGATTATCCCAGCAGTAACAGAATGAATAGGTTTAGTGACTGCATTTAGATGCTTGAATCACACAGTTCCCTGAGCTAATTACAAACATACAGTGAGAAGCAAAGATATAAGATGTACGTGGTAAGACACCCAAGATAGGGTTCCACTGGGATACAAGAACCACACTAGCTGAATCCTGGGTTACCTGTTGTAGTTTGTCCTGTCTTCCTGTACGCTGCCTCAACTTTCCTTGCTGACAGTGCAGTTCGGTTACCAGGACCTGAGTTGATGGTGACCCAAGGGGACTTGACAGGTGGAAGGTGTCTAGATCCAACACTTGCTTGCTCTACTGGGGAGATGCAAGGCAGCTGGCCACAGCTATAATTTGCTGTTAAACTGTGGAGTTGCTTATCTGCATGCCTCTGGCAGATGATACGAGAGGCTAGAATAGGGCTCACCAATGAGTATTTGATTCAGGAATGACATAGCTAGCAATCTGGATGTGTGACCTAATCCATGCCTGGTGAGTACTTAAGATTTACTTGATCCTTCCATCCTTTCTTATCTATATGTAACACTCTTGTTTTTTCCTTCACAACCATCCTTTGTATCTATATGCAAAACAAATATGTTCTGTTTTTTTCTATTTATGTCTTACAGATTATGAACAACTACCTTAATTTCTAGTACATCAAAATTTTCAGTGTTTCCAGAGTTACTTGTTTACAATCTATGTTGAGTTTCATCCATATCTTGTTTCTCTTGCTCTCTGTATAGCAAATTGAACATTATTAAATGATACAGCAAATTCATCTCACAATTATTATCATTACTGTTATCCACTAAAAGCACAAAGAACCTTTGTGATGTTTTGGTAGAGGACTGATAAATATTGTAGCATTGGAATCTATATATATGTGTAAGGGGGAAAGTTGTTAAAGAGTTTGAATACCTTCAACTTTTTTGGTATATGTATTTAATTGAATTTGGTCTTTTCAGTGTTCAACCCTGGATAAAAATGTCCAGCTTATACAAAATTGATGTGCTTTAAAAATATATGATGCTGCTTCTTTCCAAAAAGCAAGTCATTTTTCATAGCTAGAGCCAGAAATCCTATAAATTTCTTCTAGTAAATCAGACCCTTATAATATTGAGAAAATAAAATTGAACACTCTTCCTGGAAGATGATCTGTCTGGAAAATTCCTTGCTAGGAAATTGTCTGTGGGAAAAACTCAGAAAACAGTAGGCTGAATTAGTGTTGCTGCTCAATAATAATATTTGAAATGAGAATCCAATTTAGGCAGTTGTATATGTTGTAAATTGTACATATTCCTTCTACTTTAGTGGATGTATGTTTACAAGTTTGATTTTATTTTGATAAGCTGTGATAGTAATCGGAATTGTCAAAGTAATATGCATAATTTAATAAATCTCTCTTTTTTTTTTTTTTTTTTTTGTGCAACAGAGTCTCACTCTGTCACCCAGGCTGGAGTGCAGTGGTGTGATCTCAGCTTACTGCAACTTCCACCTCCTGGGTTGAAGCAATTCTCCTGCTTCAGCCTCCTGAGTACCTGGAACTACAGGCGTCCATGTCCAGCTAATTCTTTTTATTTATTTATTTATTTATTTATTTACTAGAGATGGGTTTTCACCATGTTGGCCAGGCTGGATAAATCTTTGTTTTTAATGTCATGTATAAATTGGTCTTAACTTGAGTATTTTTAATTTTATTTTTAGTATAACTTTGAAAATGCATCTCAGACATTTGATGACCTCCCTGCAAGATTTGGTTATAGACTTCCAGCTGAAGGTTTAAAGGTAAGACAATTGGTAATACATTGTAATGACACAGGGTATTTAATAAGGTGATTTTTATTGTTTATTATTTAAAGAATGAAAACATTTCTTACTATTTATTATTATAAAACCCATATATAATCATTTGTAAAGGGTCAGATTATTCAATAGGTTTCAGAAAGAAGGTGAAAATTACCTAGGATTGCATTATTCTGAAATAGCTGTGGTTAATATTTTGGTATATCATATTTCAGAGCTTTTTTTAGGATATGTGCTATGTGTGTGTTTGTAGATGTATGTGTAGATGTATGTGTGTGTTTGTAGATGTATGTAGATGTAAATGTATTATACATTTACATATATAAGTAAATGCTTTCATATACAGTGAATCTATATTTAACACTAATAGAAACATACTATTTGGTTACCTACCTTTTTCTCTTAATTGTATGTCTTGATCATTTTTTTTCATGCTGATAGGTAAGGATTTATTATTTGTTAACAGCTTCATGGTTTTGCAATATCATGAAATAGTATGGATTTTGAACATTTGTTTAGTTTTTCATAGTGGATATTTAGGTTGTCAAGTTTTTACTATTACAGTGCTGTAGTGTCTTTGTCTTTGTGTATTCATCCATTTATCGCCATAGGATAGATACATTTCCAAATGTAGAATTGCTTTATGGCATGAATGTTTAAAATTTTGTCCTATATTTACAGTTTTTCCTGCAAAAAGTTTGGAACAATTTCAAATTTTATCAATAGTTGTCTGAGACTGTCCTTTTCCCCATACCTTCTTAAGTATTACATATTATTGAGCTTTTGCTAATTTGATTTTAAAAATCTAATAAACTTAAACATATTGTGTGTGTGTGAGAGAGAGAGAGAGAGACAGAGAGAGAATGGACTATTAATGCTCTTTGGCCATTTTGAAATTAAAAGTGTCTTTGTGATTTGTAAGATTTCTTTATATATTGGAAGTATCAATTTATTGTTTGCCATATATGCTTCAGATTATCCCTTCCCAGTTTTTCCTTTGTCTTTTAATTTTGTTTAAGGTTTCAAAAGTTTTGTTATGTAGCTAAAAATTCTTACCTTTTCCTTCTACCTCTGGGGGTTAGAAAGTCCTCTCTCATTCCAAGATAATATGAGATTTTTGTTATATGAATACATGAAATTGTGTAGATAGATATATATCACAGAATGTTTTCAGTTTATACTAATTTTCTTAAAATTCCTCTTTTTTTTTTTTTTTTTTTTTTTTTGAGGTAGGGTTTCACTCTGTTGCCCAGGCTGCAGTGGTGTAATCTCGGCTCACTGCAACCTCCACCTTCTGGGCTCAAGTGATCCTCTCACCTCAGCTTCCTGAGTAGCTGATACTAAGCGTGCACCACCATGCTTGGCTAGTTTTTGTATTTCTTGTAAAGATGGGGTTTTGCCATATTGCCCAAGCTGGTCTTGAACTCCTGAGCTCAAGTGATCTGCCCACCTCAGCCTCCCAAAGTACTAGGATTTCAGGCATGAGCCACTGTGCCTGACCAGAATTTCTTAGTAAGATACCACAAGCCCATTAGTCTTAATTAGGATGGCAGACACCTCTGGGAGGGGCATTCAGCTTTTAAGTTATTTTTAAATAATTCACAGCATTGTATGACTATTTCTTGTAAAAGTATTTCAACCAAAAAGAAACATACATAAGAAAAAGGAAGCACCTTCTTTTATTCTTTCCTTATCTATATAAGGAAATATAGATTGCCTTATGTAGATATTTCCTTTATATAGGAAGTATAAAGGAAGTATAGATATTTCCTTTATATAGATAAGGAAATCTATATTTCTTTATATAGATAAGGAAAGAATAAAAGCCAATCACACTTCCCTCTTCAGAGTTAAGTATTAGCAGTGATTTTACAGGCCTTCAGATCCTTTTCTGAACATGTGATGCTTTTCAGTTCTTTTTTGTTCATAAATTTATGAACGTGTATATTTGTAAATGGTTATCATTTGTATATATAAAAAGTTTTTTAATTCTTATAATGGAATCCACTACCCAGAATGGGATTTATAAAGGGATAAAGAGGTTCACAGTATCACAATCTGGACAAGCAGTTTCTAAACTGTTTCAGGAATAAAACCCAGAACTCCGTTGCAAGACTGATTTTATAGATGAGTGCAGCAGCCAATGGACCCTCAAATCACATTATTTTTTCTCTCATCAGGAAGTCTCTGTGGCTTTACCTCACAACATTTCTATCTCTTCTGCCACCCAAGTCAATCAAAGAGATACCCTTTTTCAGACTGTTTTTTTTTTTTTTTTTTTTTTTTTTTTTTTTTTTTTACATGTCTGCTTTCAAATCCAACACTTGAATTTTTCTGATTGACAGACTCTTGGCCATATGGTTACTGGCTACATATTTTGGTGAAATACCCAGATATGAGGAAGTCTGGGAAATACAGTATAGGTTTGTTGTTGTTTGTTGTTTTAAGCTACTTTGAAAAGGTGGAATTCATACTAGATTCAGAAAATTTAGAGCACCATGATTGACAGATGTCTACTGTAGTAACTACTCTGCAAGGCTGTGCTGGGTGTGGTGGCTCATGCCGGCAGTCCCAGCACTTTGGGAGGCCAAGATAGGTAGATCACTTGAGGTCAAGAGACCAGCTTGAGCAACATGGTAAAACTGTGTCTCTACCAAAAAACGCAAAAATTAGCCAGGCAGTGGTCCAAGTCTGTGGTCCCAGCTACTTGGGAGGCTGAGGTGGGAAAACGCTTGAACCCAGGAAGGTAAGGTGGTAGTGAGCTGAGATCATGCTGTTGCATTCTAGCCTGGGTGACAGTGTGAGACCCTGTCTCAAAAATAAAAATAAATAAATAATTACTCTGTAGTTTGATTCCCCTATTTCTTCTGTTTTAGAGCTCTTTCCACAGCGGCATCTATAAATCTAGCATGTTCCTATTAAGCTCTGCATGGTATTCTGTCATATGAATGATTGTAGTTTTTAGTAATTTCCTCTTAACAAATATTTTGTTTTGTTTTTTTCCAAAGTTGTTATTTCTCTAGGATAGAGATATGGAAGTAGAATTGATGAAATCAATCGGTATATACATCTAAAAGTTTTATAGATACTGCCAGATTACCTTTGCAAAGGCTGTGCTAATTTATTTGCATTAACACTGTAGGAGAATACGTATTTCGATATACCCTTGCCAACACTGGATATTATCAGTCTTTTAAACTCTTGCCAATCTGATGGGCAAAAGTATTATCTTGTTTTAATTTGCATTTCTCTGATTACTAATGATGAGCTGGCAACCTTTCTTTCATTCTGCCGTAAGGAGTCAGACTTTCCTTTCTCACTGAAGAACCTTTCTGCTGAATAAGCTTATTTTAAAGAGCTCCATTAATTCTTGATAAGCATAATCTTACTGGTGCTCCTCAATTACTATGTTACTATAAATTTGGTTTACACTTAAAAGATATTTTGTCAAATTTATTTATTCACTGCTTGACCCCACCCCCCCAAAAAAATGGTGCTAGGTATCTGTCTCCTTTTTGGACTGTGACAATATAGGGCAAGAAGAGAAGTGAAATATTCTAACAAAATTATTGGATTATTATGGGTAGCTTTTATAGTTGCATAACTAGTTTTGCCATTGCCCAGAATCGGAATTTAAAATGCCAGCCATACAAAGATTTACATTTGTTTACAAGGACTTGATAATAATGAAGTGAGGTTGCTCACTATAGTGTAATGTCTGTAAAACAAGTTAAATAAATCTGTTAAAAATATAAGTTAATTTAAAAATACAATGTAGTTATTAAGAGACTTAGCTGAAAAATACTTTTTTTTTTTTTCTGAAGCAGAGTCTTGCTCCATTGCCTGGCCTGGAGTGCAGAGGGATGATCATAGCTCACTGAAACCACCAACTGCTGGGCTCAAGCAATCCTCCCACCTCAGTCTCCTGTGTAGCTAGGACTACGGGATTGTACCACTGTGCCCAGCTAATTTTTAAATTTTTTTAGAAAAGGAATCTTTCTGTGTTTCCCAGACTGGTTGTGAACACCTGGCTTCAAGCAATCCTCCTGCTTTGGTCTCCTAAAGTGATGGGATTATAGGTGTGAGCTACTGCACCTGGCCAAAATATCTTACTTTTAAACTGCCCAGAGAGTTTAGGTTAGATAGTTTTTGTTGGTCTTATTTATGTTCTATATTTTGTAGCTTTTATAAATCCCTGGATTCCATCAGAATCATTTATAAGATGTCAGATATTAATAGTATATCAGTTGAAATTCTGCATTTGTATTCTATTTATATATGCCCCAGTATTAGGTTAATTGTACTTAAATCCTTTTTCTGTCCTCTCCTGTATTTTAAAAAAGACTCTTCAAGTGTAAGAAAATGAGAAAGCCAAAGAATTTTGAACTATTTGAGCTTTAATACAAAAATGTAAGTCTTTGCATAGATTGAAATATGGCACATCAGTGTTGTAGAAGTTTTTTTTTTTTTTTTTTTTTTTTTGAGACGGAGTTTCGCTCTTGTTACCCAGGCTGGAGTGCAATGGCACGATCTCGGCTCACCGCAACCTCCGCCTCCTGGGTTCAGGCAGTTCTCCTGCCTCGGCCTCCTGAGTAGCTGGGATTACAGGCACGCGCCACCACGCCCAGCTAGTTTTTTGTATTTTTAGTAGAGACGGGGTTTCACCATGTTGACCGGGATGGTCTCGATCTCTCGACCTCGTGATCCACCCGCCTCAGCCTCCCAGAGTGCTGGGATTACAGGCTTGAGCCACCGCGCCCGGCCAGAAGTTTTAAAAGAAAGATTTTGTTTTTTTATCTAGGTAAGTTCTCCAGTGTTTGTAGTTTTATATTTTAATTCACTGTTTAGGAAGTTACCTTTTCCCGACAACCTTTTTAGACTTTATAATCTTTGAGTACCATTAGTAATTAGTGTACAATTCATTTCAACAATATTCAGAATCATAAAACTGCTCTTTTTGGAAAACACATTTTGTCTTTGAA